CCTGCCTCCCAAGGTCTGTGAAAGTGAGGGATCATTGTCCAGGATGGACAGGCCCAAAAAAGAAACCAACAGAACTCCACTGGCCATCACCTACAGTCCTCAGCTTAAACCTCTCCAATGCATCATCAGTGATCTACAACCCATCCTGTGCTACAACATCATCGGCTGACCAAATGCCTCACAAAGCTTACTTAGAAACCAAGCAAGCATACAGCCCATATTCTTAACCTCAAGTAGAAAATGATATATATGTACAAATAGGATGAATAGATATAGTAGACCATAACCTTTCCGGAGATATATTACATGGCACAGGCAGCACAAAACATATTCCAGTTATGTCATACATACATTTATAAGCACCCCCTCCATAAAGCCTTATGGGGTACACTGTCACAGTCTGCTCTTGGGGCAGTGCCGGAGACATGAGATTGGTGTGTTGCCTAGCTGTCTGAGGCTACATAATGGGTGATTAAAGGACTGGCCTAAGCTGACCCATATCAATGGAAGATCCAGAGAGACAATGAAAACTCCTAATAACTGAACAATCAACACTTCACAGTGGGAAGCTCCAGTGGAGGGGTGGGGGGATATGTGAACTCAGTGTGGCTATGTGAAGACAAAGAACAGACAGGACGGGGATAAGAGTTGTTTTTTGGAAGAGGCTTGGCTGTTCTCACCTGGGACTGAAAGTGGCAGAGAGACAGAGCCCGAAATGGAGTCAAGAAGCAGCTTGGCTAGGCCAGATGGACTATGTCTTAACCCTCTCTCTGCTAACCTAAGGACTTTCAATACTGTGTTCTGGGTGACTAAAACTCTACTCTGTTTTGAAAAGGCTGCCTGGTGTCAGTGCAAATTCCTGCTGAGGCACATTAGTCCCTGCAGAGCATCTCTGACTAAGGCCTTGCCTACACTATGAAGTTTTGTCGGTAAAAGTTATTAATTAAATTAAATTAATTAAAACTGCTGTTGCATGTCCACACTAACGCCTTGTGTCGGCAGAGTGCATCGACACAGAGCAGTGCACTGTGGGTAGCTATCCCACTGTGCAACTGGCTGCAGGGTGATTTGGGAAGGGTTTGCAGTGCCTCATGGGGCTGGTTCAGCATCACATGATGCAGGTTTCTCAATCCCATAGTTCCAGGGGCATCCTACTAGATTGTTAGCCGCTTTTTCAACTGAAGTGTGTGGTGGGAGGGAGAGGAGAGTGGTGTGTCTGGGGGAGGGGAGACAGCAGGCTGACTGACCTATCCTGAGGTGGGGGAGGGGGACACCCCCCACCCCACGTCAGCCCCCTCTGCTCGGCACAAGCAGTCTCTACGGAAGCAGCCCGCTCTGCCTGCCTGCCTATGGTTCTATGATTCCCTCTGAGTTCTCCCACAGCCTCCTTGGCTGCTGGGAGCAGCATCCTGAGCAGCTCTGTGAGCTCTCTCCGTGCTGAGGAATGTCACAGCAGCCCCCCGCCTGCAGCTGTGCTCCTAGTGCAGGGCAGAATAGGAGAATTCCATGCTAATGATTTGCTCTTTGTTCCCCAAAAGGGAGCAGCATCCCCGAGCTTTGAAAGGGGAGGGGCACATGCCTGCAGGGCAGCAGAGATCAAAACACTGAGCAGAGCGGTCATGGCAGGCATTGTGGGATACTGGTGGAAGCCAGTTACGTAGACAAAACAAACAGCAGTGTCTACACTGACGCTTTGTCGCTTTAACTTTGCTGCAAACAGTTATATGCCTCTCGTCGAGGTGGTTTTATTTTGTCGGCAAAACAGCAGAGTTTTGCCGCCAAAAGTAACTTTGTAGTGTGTACACCTCCCGTTTTGTTGGCAAAAGGCAGCTTTTGACGACAAAACTTTGTAGTGTAGACAAGGCCTAAGAGCCTATCTCATTTGGCCTCACTTGGCAGAGCTCACAGCAAGAAACGGGAGTGATGGAGTTCAGATGCTTAGTCTCGGTGGGGAGGTCATGTGGCCCATCCTTAAGGAAGAATAGGACCCATGGGGGTCTGGCACACTAAAGGGATTCCTCCAAGAGACTGTTTAAAAGCTGGAGCTGTGGATCTGTGACAGGGAGAACCAGCCCGTCATACATCGAAGCATGCCAAGGCTCTGTCATTTGCCATAGCCACAGTTCTTATTTGCAAAGCCCCCCAATATAAGAACAAAACCATAAAAAATCCTCAAGGTGCACACGTTATTCCTGCTAAGCTTTCAGCCTTCTTCCCAGAGCATGGGGCACCAACAGCATTGCGAAAGAACAGAAGCTTCCTACAAGATTAAAGAAAGTAATGGGGAGCAAGCCATTAAATCATGTCCATGTGTGCCCCAGACTTCGTTACTGTTTTCAGACAATTTTAGATATATACTTATGTGACAGTCAGCAGTGACCTCCCCCCCAATATTTCGGTGACACTTATTACACACATTGGATACAAGGCAGATGACTATATAAGTACAAACAAGGTACATGCACTCAAACACCCCTGTTTATTATGTTGGATTAAGATGAATTTTTACAGAGAACAGAATGATTGAGAGTTGAAAATGGAAGCTGGGACACTATATTTCATATGGGAACTCCAACAGGTTACTTTCTGGGTCCTGGCCTGCAAAGTGCAGCTTTTCATTAAAGTAGTTTGGATTCCTGTCCATTCTGCTACTTAGCAAATAATTAACAATGACCAGTTTTCATTTGTATTTTGTTGAAATCCAGAACTGGATTCTCGTGTTGAAAAACCATCAGATGCTTAATAAGACGACCCACTGTGCGAGATGCTGTCAGTCAGGACCCAGGGGTGTGCCATGACATTTCATTGCTTAGTAACACAGCCTGGTGCCTAGCTCTGTCTGGTTCAGCAATGGGAGCAGTTTGCTGAGATTAAAATCCACACATCATTTGTTTAGAAAGAAACAGCAGATGTAGTAGCAGCTGTAATTACTATGGATTGTATAATAAAAATTTCTCAGGGCTTAGCAACTAACAGACACCTACAATAAAAAGGTACGTCACTTTCCATCTTGGTCTATTTTCCAATAGCAAAGGAAACACAAATAGAATAACAGGTTTTTATCTGTCATTATGTTATTCATAATTTGTTCCAATGTTGAGGATTCCACTAAATTCTTCTAACAGAATTAACTCATCTAATCAGATAGATTTTTTTAAAACACAAATATGCCTGTAACTACAGGAATATTTATGCAATAGCTTGTTACATATCACTACCAAAAAATCTATGGTAATATATCAAAGTTTCATTAAACCCACAATAGTCCAAATACACAAAAATTGCCAATGTAATAATAAATAAGTAGGGAAGAGAAAAGCATAATGCACCATCCTACACGTGTATCTAAAGTTGCAGAATGTTTTTTATTACACTGTATTGTTTGAAAATGTGATCATATAATTAAGGACTGTATCATAATGCATGTGATTAAGGGATAAGAGCTAAGGCTGTGTTTTCA